GGGGGGGGGTGCCGAAGCCTGTGGGGGTGAAATAGGGATGGGCGAGGGAGAGGACGACCTCCCTCCCTTTGATCGCTCTAGTTCCTGCCGCGTGGGAGGCCTGGCCCCGGGCACCCGGGGGCCCCTCGTGCCTGGTGGAGAGCGAGGGAAGCCTGACGGAGAACATCTGGGCCTTTGCTGGCATCTCCAGGTAGGAGTGGTGCCCAGCCCTTTGGGAGGGGCGGGGAACTAGGCTGTGAGCTCCCCCAGGGCCCCGAGATGTGCATCCCTGCCCTTGGACGGAGGGCTCTCCGACCTTAGGCCAGAGACTTCCCCACCCCTGGGCCTCAGTTTTCTGTAAAATGGGGATAATAAAAGGACCTTCCGGGCTTCCCTGGTGGTCTAGTGGTTAAGATTTCTGCGCTGCCGGTGCCGGGGGCGTGGATTCGATCCCTGGTGCAGGAACTAGGATCCCACATGCTGTGCGGTGCAGCCAAAAGATAAAAACAATTAAAAAAATAAAATATACAGACCTTCATTGCAGGGCTGTGGAGGGGATCAAATGAGGTTATTCAGGTGAAGCCTGTCACAGGGAACGGCCTTCCTAAATGCCTGCGCTTTAAAACTCTCTCCCTAGTGGGGCAACAGTTAGGGTAACCCTTGGAAACCTTTCTGAGAGGCAGTCAGAAAGCGTCCTTTCCTGGAAGGCATACTCTGGGCAGGCACTGTGTTTCCGACGCTGTGGGTCTGTTAGGCCATTCAGCAGACTGAGGCTGGGTCCCGACAAGGGGCCGGCCCTCAGCCTCTGGCCTCGGCCCTCCCAGGCCCAGCGCCCTCGCGCTGCTGCGGAGAGACGTGCTGGGAGCCTTCCTGCTGTGGCCTGAGCCGGGCGCCAGTGGCCAGTGGTGCCTGTCGGTGAGGACGCAGTGCGGCGTCGTGCCGCACCAGGTCTTCCGGAACCACGTGGGCCGCTACTGCGTGGAGGTGAGAGGGTTCCCGGCCACACTTCTCGCCATCAAGCCCCGCCCCTTTCACACCACACCCCGGCCCCTCATTGGCTCACTCTGGCCCCACCCCCCTATTTAACGCTGCATCTGGCTCTTCAGCCATTGGTCCTTCCGGCTCTGGCCCCACTTCTACTCTGCGGGCTCCACTCTAAGGCCCCTCTCTCACCAGAGTAGGGTATTTCAACTAGAGTCATGGGCTTCCTAGGTGGTGCTGGTAGTAAAGAACCTGCCTGTCAGTGCAGGACGTAGAGGAGATGCAGCTTCCATCCCTGGGTTGGGAAGATCCCCCTGGAGGAGGAGATGGCAACCCACTCCAGTATTCTTGCCTGGAGAATCCCATGGACAGAGGAGCCGGGCAGGCTACAGTCCACAGGGTCTTAAAGAGTCAGACACGACTGAAACGACTTAACACACAGACACTTAACACTCCACACAGTAGAGTCTTGGGCTAGGGTCACGCCTCGCATTTTTACATCAATCACAGCTTTTAAAAGTCATGCTTTCCCACACCCTAACTCGTCTTTTAGCAGAGGAGGAAACTGACTCAGAGAGGGTCGAGGCTTGCGTTTAAGTTCACACAGTCTCTAGGTCTGGAGTCCTAGCCTGATCACACGTTTCCAGGGACTGGGGTGGGCGGGCATGGCTTTTTAAATGCTCGGCCTTATTTGCACGCTAAGTGCCTCGGTCTTGTCCAGGCCCCGGGGGAGATAAAGAGAGGGAAAGGGGTGTGGTTCTGCTAGGAGCAGGACAGTGTCCTCTCTGAATTCCTCTAAAGTGAGGCAGGATCCAGGGTGATGGGGTAGTCGGAGGCGTCATCTGTGGGGAAAGGGGGGCTGGAACTGAAGTCCCTGCCCTGCCCCCTCCCCAGCACCTGCCGGCTGAGTTCCCCAGCCTGGAAGCCCTGGTGGAGCACCACGCTGGAACGGAGCGGAGCCTCTTCTGCTCCCTTGACATGGGCCGCTTGAACCCCGGCTACGAGGAGCAGGACTATGGGCCCGAGGGCCGGCCTCCTCGGGCGCTCAGACCCCTGGGCCACGCCAAGTCTGAGGCAGAACTGCAGGGTCTGGGCTAGGAGGCAGGGCCCCACGCCAACAGGCCCTGCTGTACCCTGGCTCCCGAGCCTCAGCGGGCCACTCGGCTCTGGCCTCTTCCACCCTGCTGGGCACCAGTTCCATCCAGTCACTGCCCCTGGGACCAGTCTTCCATCATTTCCCTGCCTGTGGGGGGGCCCTGAGAGTGAGGATCACCAGGGGCTTCTCCCCAGGACACGGGCCGTCAGGATCACAAGCGCAGCAGACCGAGCTCCAGGCTTCCCAGAACTTGTCGGGTGACTTGATGCTTGCCTTCCCTGGGTCTCACCTCCCTCCTGGGTGGGGAGCTTTCCAAAGTGGGCAGGAAGGTTGTTCCAGTGCAGGTGGGGCCCTCCCCCAAGCAGGCCAGGTCTTGGGGCCCTGACTGGGTGTCCCCAGAGAGCTCCAGGCCAAGGCAGCCAGACGCGTGAGGGAGAGGCATGTGGGCAGGCAGGAGGGAGTTCTCACTTTGGGCAGAGGTGTGGGGACAAGTCGCCCTCTCCGTGAGAGAAGCAGGGACAACGTGGTGGAGCTTGGGGGCGACGTCCAGGCTGACGGAGCACGGCCTATTTCCCACGTCCTTTGAGGTGGGAGGAGCCCGCCCTTGAGTCCTGAAGTGTGGGGGTTAAGAGGCTGCAGAGAGGAGCCGAGTCACCCAGAGCCCAGGTGGACACCTGTGCGTAGAAAGCAGTGTGAGCGGGCTGACGGGGCAGAGGATCCCAGTGAACCTCAGATCAGGAAGGCTGCTTTGTCTGCTCAGAACCGCAGAGCTGGGCCTCCTGCTCACACAGAAGAGATGTCGCAGACTCGTCTCTTCCCACACACCCTCCAAAACCCATCAAGACACCCCCCTACCCAGCCTCACTGCCTTTGGCCACTTGATTCTGAGGGGCCAGCAGTAAGCTACAGGCTTACGGGGGTGACTAGGGCCCTGATGCACTCATCCTGCAGGCCACACTGGGTTTGGATTTGGTGGCTGCTTGGGAAGTCCACGCCCCACCTCATGGTGGCATTTCCCTTAATGGGCATCTGTCAGGGACCACGTCACTAGGTCAGCCCCACTGGAGGTGAGGGTCAGGGAGGAACCATCTGAAGGCAGAACCAATGTGGGCCCTGCCAGAGGACACTTGGCCTGGGCTGACACGGGGGCATTCATCCAGGGAAATGACCCCACAGTGACAGCTCTAGGTATCCCCCTTTATAAGCAAAGTTGACAGGCAAACATGAATCTCCCAAACTAGGGAGCAAGTTCATGGTGGATGAACTTCTACTCCTGAGGCAGAGGTCTAGTCGTGGGTCTGGGGGCTGCCTTCTCTCCTCTCTGGGGACAGGATGTGACTGAGTAGGGCCTTGAAAGTAATACACTCCTGTTTCCTGGAAAAACGAGCAGCCCCAACGGAATAAAAAGAACGAGGAGCCTCAGAAGTTCAGGCCTGGCGTCCCCAGTTTACACCCTCTGGCTCAGTAAAGGCTCTTGGCTGGGGCCTTGTCACTCTTGTCACAATAGATGGAAGGAGGAAGCCGTCCTTTTGGCGCTTGTTTCACTGGAACCGCAGCAGTGGTTTTGTACTGAATATGCGTGGGAGCCTGGACTCGTGTTACAGCCCTTACTACCGGAAGCCATCTCCTCCCTGGGCAAAGCCCTGTTTCCTCAGGAGCCCCAGCCTCCCATTTCTCTGGCAAGGAGAGGGGTTTGGTGATGTGGGGCCCAGGATTACCGCCCCGGAGCCGCACACATTTAGGAAGCCCCGCTAACTGGTCTGACCTCTGTGAGGGACAGATTTCGTCACACAAGTTGTCGTGTGGACGGGGTGTCGGGAGCGTCCCCACGGTACTTTACATCCCTTCACACGGCGCTTTGGGTCGCGTGGCACAAACGAGGCCGGGTTTCTGCTTCGCGTGCGCAGACGCCTCACTGCCTTCATTGCAGACCAGTTTCCTCTGTCGCAACCAGTGCCACCTGGGTAGCCCAGCCTCCTTACTGTGTGGACTTGAAGCAAATAAAATGCATTTCTTGCGGTTGCTGAGTACAGACTTTTCCTTTGAAAGGCCAGGGCTTTGTCCAGGTTGCCTGCTTTGTTTTTGTTTGCCAACCATACCTTCTGCTGGCGCTGAGTGATGAACCAGACAGAGATCCTGTTGTCAGGGGCTCAGGAGGTCTTGAATGAATTGCGTGGGTAGCTTCAATCGACGACTCCTGCTTAAAACCTTAGGTGGGTATTTCCTGTATGGAGGAGGCTCAAGTCCTTATGTTCTGGCCACTCGGCTGATCCTTCTGCTCCTGCAACATGCCACAGGGCCTTTTCTCAGGCCTCCTTGCCCTCCTCTCCTTTAACTGATGAACTCCTCAACCTTACCATCTCACTCTCAGGGAGCCTGCCCTGACTGCCCCCTGGCCCCCTGCCCGGGCTGGATGAGGTATCCTGGCCAACTATTCAGTACATTTGTTCCTTTAGTTTGTTAATACTCTTTTATTTATGGGATTTTTGTTTGTGGGATATTTGTTTCAAATGTCAGCCTCCCCCACTAGACCACACGTGCACTGGAGGGCAGGGGCTGAGCTCTCTCCCAGCATCTATTGCCGTGCCTGGCCCATAGCGGACAATTTCTGTGCAAACGGGAGCCCAGAGGAGGTGCAACCAGGGCCTCTTCTAGAGGGATTTGTGCGGGGGTCGGGGTAGGTGTGGGGAGAGAGGCCAGGCAGCCTCTCCAGCCAAAGGACTTTTTGTTTTGTATCTTCAGCTTGAGTCTTAATAAAGACAAGGGACAGCATGACAGGGAAGCTTTGCTCTGGCACCGCCCGGTGTGGGGGTGCAGGGGGCGCTGTAACAGGCTCTGGGCAGCCTTTCCGAGTTAATACAGGGATGTGGATAAAGGGCAGCAAGGTCCCTGTCCCCTTTGTTGGTAAGTCTCTAACCCCCGAGGGAGGCTGCTCCTCTGATATCTCCTGGGGGGGGGGGGGGCTCCCCTGGGCCGCCTCTAGCAAGGCGGTTAGCCTCTCAGAACTGGGGCTGTGGGGACTGGAAGAGAACGGCTGTGCAGCATCTAGTCAGAGCTATGGTTTTTCCAGTGGTCATGTATGGATGTGAGAGCTGGACTATAAAGAAGGCTGAACGCAGAAGAACTGATGCTTTCCAACCGTGGGGTAGGAGAAGACTCTTGAGAGTCCCTTGAACTGCAAGGAGACCCAATCAGTCCATCCTAAAGGAGATCAGTCCTGAATATTCACTGGAAGGACTGATGCTGAAGCTGAAACTCCAATACTTTGGCCACCTGACACGAAGAACTGACTCACTGGAAAACACCCTGATGCTGGGAAAGACTGAAGGCGGGAGGAGAAGGGGACGAGAGAGGATGAGATGGTTGGATGGCATCACCGACTCAAAGGACATGAGTTTGAGTAAACTCCAGGAGTTGGTGATGGACAGGGAGGCCTGGCGTGCTGCAGTCCCTGGGGTCGCAAAGAGTCGGACACGACTGAGCGACTGAACTGAACTTGCAGAGCTTGGCACTGAGTCAGCAGGCGCGTGGACAAAGTCAGCGCAGGTCCCCCGCGAGGGCGCACCAGCCTTCAGCACGCGCGCTGGGGACCTCACACGTGGGGCTTCCTCCGTCCGGCGCTCTGGGCGCTGGCAACAGGGAGCCGCGCGCTGTGACGCCCCCGGCGTTGCCCAGCAACCGCGGACGCCGCGGCGACGTGCGCGCGAGCGAGCGAGCGGGCGGTTGGGGCGGAACCCCCGCCGCGGCGGCGCCATGGCCTCGGAGTCGGTGAAGGTGGTGGTGCGCTGCCGCCCCATGAACCAGCGGGAGCGGGAGCTGAACTGCCGGCTGGTGGTGACGGTGGACTCCGCTCGCGGCCAGTGCTTCATCCAGAACCCGAGCGCCGCGGACCAGCCCCCCAAGCAGTTCACCTTCGACGGCGCCTACTACATGGACCACTTCACCGAGCAGATTTACAACGAGATCGCCTACCCGCTGGTGGAGGTGAGGGCCCCCGCTTCCCGAGGAGACCCGCTGGGCAGGACCTGAGGCCCCTCGGAGGGCTCCCGAGGGCCGGCCCTGTCCCCTGGGCCGGGCGGGAAGGCCCTTCTGGAGGGGCCGCAGGCGGACAGCAGCAGGCTGAAGACCTCCGTCCCCGCAGGAGACTGCTGGAAGCCACCTGCAGTGTCTGTCTGGGTCCCCCACTGCCCCTGGTGCCAAGGCTGGTTCTCACCCCATCCTTCCCCCGTTCCCCACAGGAACTCCAGCCCCCGCGACCACTTGCCCCCCACCTTCACCGGGCAGCCTCAAGGCTCCTCTGAAAGCTCCCGTCACTCCCCCAGCCTCCCAAGAGCCCCAGACCTCGTCCTCCTCAGCCTCCCCCTTCTCCTCTCGCCTCTATGCCCTCCCGAGCCCTGGTCCCCCTCTTTCTGCCCTCAACACCTGGAGTCCGCTCCCTCTTCACCCCCGCTCCAGCTTCCTGAGAGGCCTGTCGGGGTACAAGCCTATGTGTGTGCGTGGAGCAGGGGTGGGGGGGGATCTCACTTCTGCAGAGAGAAGGCTGTTGGCCAGGCCTTGGTCTGGGAGGAGTGGAAACCTTTGACGTTTGGTCTCCCAGGCGCTGAAAGAATGGGGAGGCAACAGCTGTTCCCACCCCTTTGCAGGGCGTTTGCTTTTTCTTCACCCCCTCGGACTAGGGAACTCCTTGGAGCTGCAGGGCAGGGAGGCTCCCATGTCACAGATGGGGAGACTGAGGCCCAGAGGGAGGAAACTCGGAGCTCCCACAGAGAGTTTCTGGAGGAGATGCGGCTGGAGCTACGCCTGCTGTCTTCTGGCCAAGGGTTTCCTTGCTATTGCCACCTTCCCAGTTGTGCAGTTAATTTGTTAGTGGAGATGTCAGGATGTGAGGTGGTGTTCGAGGAAAAAAGGAAAGGTTGGAGAACTGCTGCCTATATCCCCCTGCAGGTGAGGATACTTGAGGCTCTGGGGAGTCTGGCAGCAGAGAAACTAGTTTGACTTCTCTAACCCAGTGTTTCCAAAAGGCATTTTTCCATGGAGCCTTTTGCTTTGGCCAGCAGGCCAGCTAACATCCCCCAGCGTACCTCCTTTGGCTGTGGTCAGAACCCCTTGTGGGGGTTGAAGTGTTCCGGAGCCCAGAGCCCCCCAGCAGTGAGGGCGTGACTGGAGGTGATGCCCAGGGGAAGAGGGCAAGTCTCCCCCGACGTTGGTCCCGGGCACTGAGGGTGGCCAGACTCCCCTGCCATCCTGGACTCTCAGGCTCTAAGGGACCGGAATGGGTGGTCTGCTCCCACCCCCACCCCGGGGTCCTTGATTGTCCACCTGGCGGCAGGCACTCACCCTTCCCAGAGTAGCCTGCCCTTCCCTTTGCTTCTTCACTCCTGGAAGACCCTTCTGCACAGTGAATCAGAGCCAGACCCCCCGAGGCTTTCACTCCCTGCCCTGGCTCTGTCCCGGGGCGCACAGAACACCTCTGCTTCCTGGTCCAGGGTCGGTTCCTCAGAGATGGGAAGATTCTGAGACTGAGTTCTCCTTGGCCTCGGCTTCTCCAGGGGCTCAGCCTTGCTCATGCGTCTGCCTCCTCACCCTGAGCACACCTCCCTTGTCGGGGTCCCCAAGAAGCCCCAGCCCAGAGGGGTAGCACCTCAGATCTCTCCTCCAGCCCCTACTCCTGTCGCAAGGGCTCTACTACAGGGACATCTGCCTTTGGGCATCCCACGGAGCCTCAGGCTCAGCAGGACATAGGTCCCATTTTCATTCGTTCACTCAGCCAACAAAGAGCATCCTGGTAAGAGGCCCCATCCAAAGCATGGAGCAATATCAGCGCCTTCCCTCAGCGAGCTCACAGCCGGGCAGAGGAGCAGCTAAGCTAGTAGCTGCAAGCCAGGGTGATGAGTGGGTAGAGAAGCCACAGGGACTTTGGCAGAACAAAGAAGACTAGCAAACCTGGGCTTGGAGGGGATGGGCAGGCAGGGAGGACTTCCTGGAAGCGGTGAGGTCTAAACCGAGGCCAGAAGGATGAGGGGTCAGCCAGGCAAGAAGGTGGAAGAAAGGGCCTTTCAGGTGGAGACCAAACCATTTGATCTTCGCCAGACTCCATGGACATACTTAAAGCTGGGATTATCATTCCTGATGAGGAAATTGAAGCCTTGAGCGTCCCAGAATGAGTTAGGGGTGATTTTGACTGCAGGGCTAGGTCCCCAAGCTCCATCCTGTGAATCGTACGCAAAGCACAGCGAGGAGGAGCTTCACCCTTAGGCTGGGCAGCTGTGTGTCTGTCCTGCTGGGCTCTGACCACCTCCAGGGGGCCTCCTGCCCAGGTCCTTCCCTCCAGATCCTACTGCGCAAAGCCTCCAGTGCTTCAGACTGACCCTTCCCACTCTCCTCTCCCTCCCCTTGCCTCGCCTTCTCTCCCACTTAAATCCAGACCAGATTCCTGATTTCTCTGTCACTGGGTGACCTCTTCCACTCTCCTGGGAGCTGACCACCCCAGACTCATCTTTCAGCCAGCTCAGCACGACCTACCCTGAGCTTGTCCCCTCCACACCTGGCCTTCTACTTGGTCTCTGGGCTCTTCCCCAGCCAGTGGCTTTTCCCTCTCCCCATCCTCCTGCTTCACACTCATGGCCTTAGAGCCGCCTCTGATGAGCCACCGCCCAACCCACCCAGGGGCCTGGTACCATGCCTTCTACCGGGATAGAGCAAGGATAGGCCCGGTTTCCAGAGACAGCAACACAGTATTTGGCCCCTGGATGGAGCACAGAGCTGTTGGTTTGGGAGAGGACAGAAAGGCGACATGAGGCAATTTAGCACACTTGCTAGGCAGAAAAATTAAGTAGCACATCCGACCTCTAATAGCAGCTTCACGGGAGTTATTGCTGAGGATGACACCAAGTTATAAAGACAGTCAACTAACAGTTTGATTTCATGAAAATCATTCGGTAAACAGTAACATGGGGGACCTTGGCCAAACCTGGGTGGACAGAGTGGATGACACTTGGACCCGCTCCATGTCTGCACAT